AAATAACATGATTGAGTTCAAGTATAAAGTCAAAACAGTGAAGAAATATCAATAAAAATCCCCGAAGGGTTCAAATAGTTGGCACTAGGCCCAAATATGGCATTCAACCCAAATAATGATGATAGCAAATAGTTTTCAATCAAATACGCGGTAAAATCATCAATCCAGACGGACCAAGTCACAATCCCCAATAGTGCACGACCCCACACTCGTCATCAAGCGTGTGCCTCACCTCAATATAGCACTACGATGTGCAATCCAGGGTTTCAAACCCTCAGAACATCATTTACTATCATTACACACCTCGAACCAGTTAAATCTCTAACTCGCGATGCCTTTGTCCCTCGAATCGGCCTCCACCCACATCGAATCTATCCAAAATCAAAACGAGCACGTCAAAATATGCTAAGGGAACGAAGCCCAAACAAAAATAATCAAAATACAACACAAATCCCGAAATTACCAAAACCTAGACCCCCGGGCCCACGTCTCGGAATTAAATAATTTTTACCTTAATAGATTCCTTATCTCCCCACAAGTTCATACATATCAAAAGTTCTCAAATTCGACCCCAAATGGTTCTTCAAATCCACAATTAAAGGCCTAAGTTTCCAAGCCCTAGTTTCCCCAATTTTAACCTTTGATTTCCATAATTTCTAGCTCTAATCCATGAAATAATAGCATAGGAACGAGTTTTAGGTCCAAATTTCTTACCTCAATGAAGTTCTCTTGAAAATCCTCTCTCAAATCGCCCAAAAAGCTCTCAAGTCGAGGTCAAAAATGGTGAAATAGCTCAAATTTGCGAAATGAAATAACTTATATGTTCTGCCCAAACATTTTCGCATTTGCGGCGTTATACTCACTTCTGCGATACCGCATTTACGGTTAAATCCTCCGCTTCTACGGAAATCACTTATCCCGCCTAAATCGCATCTGCGACCACACTTCCGCATCTGCGACATCGCAGATGCGGTCACCTTACCGCTTCTGCAGTCTCTGCTTACCTGACCTTTTTTCGCTTCTGCGATAGATCTCCCGCACATGCGGTGCCGCACCTGCGGTCCTCAATCCGCAGGTGCGAAAATACCAGAAGCAACAATTTAGCAGCTGCAACAACAATCCAAACTTCCCGTTAACCATCCGAAATCACCCTGAGGCCCCCGGGACCTCAACCAAAAGCACAAACATATCCTAATACCTTATCCGAACTTGTTCCAAACATCAAAACACCTTAAACAATATCAAATCACCCAAAACACATCGGATTCAAGCCAAACTTTCTAAAATCTTCCGAATTTCGCTTTTGATCAAAAACCTAACCAAACCACGTCTGAATAACCTAAAATTTTGCACACACATACCAAATGACACAACGGAACTACTGCAATTCTCGGAATTTCATTCTGGCCTTTATATCAAAATCTCGCCTATCAACCGGAAAATACCAAATTATCAACTTCACCAATTCAAGCCTAAATCTACTCCGAACCTTCAAAACTCATTTTGATCACGCTCCTAAGTCATAAATCACTTCTCGAAGCTAACCGAACAATCGGAACTCACATCCGAGCCCTCTAACACATAAGTGAACATCTAGTTGACCTTTCCAACTTAAGCTCCCTCAAAAGAGACTAAGTGTCTCAAACCTTACCAAATTCCTTCCGGATTCGATCCGACCAACCCGATATCGCATAATATGGATAAACAAAGCATAAAGAAGCAGAAATGGGGAAAATTGAGCGGTAAATCATGAGACGACTGGCCAGGTCGTTACATCATCAATTTATCTCTGGCCAAGAAAGGCAAATGTCAATATTTATAAATCTCAAGCAACAATACAAACATGCACATATCATGCTGAGGTCGTACGGCCCGATCCAACATAAATGTAAAATGTGCACTGCCGAGGGTCGAACGGCGCAAACCATAGATACATCTATTACCCTGCTCGCGAATCATCCATGCAACGCGGTCAACATAAAATAAACAAGCACCATGCTCGCGAATCATATATGCGGCGTAGGTACACATAGAATCACATATTCAAACAGCTAATCAAGACTTCATTAGGGAACAACTATCCAAGGAAAATCCAAATTCTCCCTCTTTAATGATTTAAGAAAAAAGAAGTTTAAACCTTTTAGAAATTCATTTATCAATTCGATAGAATTTAAGCAATTCAAACCGCCAATAGGATTACAAATATTTCCAATTACAATATGCTTTTGGGTCCTAGACTACCTGGACAATAACATAATAGTAGCTACGCACGGACTCTCATCACCTCGTGCGTACGTAGCCCCCACAAATAGGAGCACATAACCAATTAACTCACCTATGGGGACAATTCCTTCTTATAAGGTTAGAAAGGAGACTCACCTCGCTCCGAAGATCCATAACCGGTATTCCACGCCCTTTTGAAGACTCAAATCGATGCACAATGCTCCAAAACTAGCCAATAATTATGCAAATCCATTAATACATGTTTAATTACTCATTACAATCCAATTTATAGCAATTCCTAACCTCGATCGAAAAGTTGACAAAATTGCCCTTGGGACCACGTGTCCGGATTCCGAAATTTTTCGAAGATAAAGTTTACCCATGAACTCAGGAACTCAACTATATGATTTTCTCTTAATTTTATACCCAAAATCGTGGTCAAAATCCAAGAATATCAATTTTCTAGGTTTTCACTCAAACCTCAAGTTTCTACCAATTTCCATGTCCAAATCCGCATATAATCATGTATTTAACTAAAAACTAGCATAAATTACTTACCTCATGCTTGGTGGTAAAAATGGCACCTCAAAGTTGCTCCATAATCGGCTCCAATGGAAGCAATAGGGTTGAAATGAACCCAACCCCCGATTTAAAAGAACCTCACTACCTCCAGCATTTCCGCACCTGCGGTCCCTCGACCGCTTCTGTGGTTCCGCAGGTGCGGCCTTTCTACCGCTCCTGTCATTTCTCATCAGGCCCCCTTTTCCGCTTCTGCGCCTCAACCACCGCAGGTGTGGTCCCGCTTCTGCGGCTACATGACCGCATTTGCGGTTTCTTCACTTCTGGTCAAAACTGCGTCTGCGCCCCTCCTAGACGCTTCTGCGGCTCTGCACCTGCAGCCCAATTCTCGCAGGTGCGGTTACACCAGAAGGCAGCAACTTCAGCTCTTCCTCCAAATTTTAATTCGATCTGTTAACCATCCGGAATCCATCCGAGGCCCCCGGGACCCCAACCAGTCCTAAAACATACTACGGACTTGCTCGAGGCCTCAAATTATATCAAACAACGCTAAAATCATGAATCGACCCCCAATCCAAGCTTAAGGAACTTTAGAATTTCAAACTTCTACATTCGGTGTTTAAACCTATCAAATCACGTTCGATTGACCTCAGATTTTGCACACAAGTCATATTCGCCACTACAAACCTACTCCAACTTCCGGAATCGGAATCCGACCCCGATATCAGAAAGTCAACTCTCGGTCAAACTTCCCAAAAACTTTCAAATTTCTATCTTTAGCCAAATGACTCCAAAATGACCTACGAACCTCCGACTTTACTTCCGATCACGCTCCTAATACTAGAATCACCATACAGAGCTAGTCCCAGACTTGAAATCTCAAACGGACATTGATAACCCTAAAATGCACTTCAATCCAAACTTATGAGATTCTTCCAAAAATGCTAACTTCCACAATAGGCGCCGAAACGTTCGCGGGTTTTCCAAAACCCAGTCCGAACATACGACCATGTCCGAAATCATCATACGAACCTGTTGGAACCTTCGAATCCCAATTCCAAGGTCATTTACTCAAAAATTCAACCTTAGTCAATTCTTTCAACTTAAAGCGTCCGAAATGAAAATTCTCTTTTCAAATGTTCCACATAGTCCAGAGTTCGAAACCAGTTAGTCACATATGCCCCTTATTTTTGTTTTTTTTAATATACATCTGTTTTCCTATAAAAACGACAAAGTTTATATTTTTTAAAATATCCCCCCAATTCCTAAACAAATAGCCCCAATTTCCCAAATAAAAAAATGATCAGCTCTAAATCTCTAATCCCAAATCCTTTGATGCCTCTTTCTCTCTCTCTCTCTCTCTCTCTCTCATTCAATTTCAAAGAGAATTGTTTCCATCGTCGTCTCCTCCGTTAGCCCCTCCCAAGAAGGTCGTTTTTCTCAAATACAAAGGGCTTCATCTTGGTATCTAACTAAAAGTTCAGGTTATCAATAAGAACCAATTCTAGTTTTCCAATTTTCTAGTATTTATTCCTCTTTTTCATAAAGATTTAATCCCAATAAATTTCCTTCACCTCTATGTGCTTTCTTCTCTTTGTTGTAGTTCAATTTCAAAGAACATTGCTTCATAGTTGTCTCCTCCATTAGCCATAAACCACTACCGCTTCTCGTTGGATCGCCTCTCTCGCCGCCAACCCGTCAATTGTCACTATCAGGTTTCTCTTTGGTTTTTAATCTTTTTTTCTTTCAGTTACAAAGCCTAAAAAAGGCAGGTTTTTCAATTTTCTAAATATATGTGCTTTCTTATCTCTGTGCTTGTGCATCCCCTGTTGGTTTACCTACAACAGTGATGTGTGTCGCTCACTCTATTTGTTAATCATATGGCTAAATCAGTTGTAGTCGTAGCCCCAAATAAGGTTCTGTATATTTGTTATACGCTGAGAGAAATTGATGCTGTGGAATGGAAATACTAGTGCTTTGTGTTTAAAGGAAGCAATTGTTGATTACCTTGCTCAATATTCTTTATGCTTATCTTATGTTCGTGGACAGTGCTATAACGGAGCAAGCAATATGCAAGGGGATCTACGTGGCATCAAAACTTTGATTCAACAAGAAAGTAAATCTGCTTATTCCATTCATTGTTTTGCACATCAACTTCAATTGACTCTTGTTGTGGTGTCCAAAAATGTCTTGAAGTGGGAGAACTAGTATTGTTGGTTTCTAACGTATTGAATATAGTGGGAGGTTCTTTTTAACGTATGGATGATATTCGAGAATCTCAAGCAGAAAAAGTTCAAGAGGCATTAGATATGGGTGAACTTGAAACTGACAGGGGTTTGAACCAAGAACTTGGTATTGCTAGAACTTTATTTTTATGTGTGGCTCAATTGTTGATGCGCTTGATACTATTGTTGTAGATGCCCAGACTTTAGAAGAAAGAGCTAGGGCAAAGGGATATCTTACAACTTGTCAAACATTTGAGGTTGCTTTCATGTTGCACCTAATGAGAGATGTTTTGGGGATCACAAATGAGCTTAATACAACTTTACAGAAAAAGGAGCAAGATATTACAAATGTTATTCTACTTGTTGAAGTGGCAAAAAGACGGTTGCAAAGCTAAGAGGGGAAGAATGAAATTTACTTGTTGATAAGGTGTCTGCATTTTGTGTCAAGTATAACATTGTGATACCAAACTTTGATGATCTATATGTTAACTCTAGAAGATCGCGATGTAAAGTTGTTGATTATACTATTTTACATCGCTATCACGTCGATGTATTTTTTAAGATTATTGATTGGCAAGTTCAAGAACTCAATGCTCGTTTTAATGAGGTGACAACGAAGTTGCTTATTGGAGTAGCTTGCTTAAATCCAGTTGACTCATTTTCCAGTTTCGACATAGTAAAGATATTGGGAATGACTGAATTGTATCCTGACGATTTTTATGAAAATATACCAGTTACTCTCAAGAATCAGCTTGAAACTTATATTATTGATGTTCGTGATGTTGATGAAAGGTTCTCAAATCTACAAGGACTTGTTGATCTTTCTGAAACACTAATTAAGACAAAGAAGCATTTGAATTATCCGTATGTGTTTTGCCTTGTGAAATTTGCTTTGCTTCTACCAATTGCCACTGCTACAGTTGAAAGAACTTTTTCGGTGATGAAGTTGATCAAGAGTGAATTATGAAACCTAGTGAATGATGAATTCATGAGTGGTTGTTGGTGCCTTATGTAGAGAGAAAAATATTTAACACCATTTCTGATGAGACTATTATGAATACTTTCAGGAAATGAAAACTCGTAGAGGACAATTTTAGTAATGTATTTTCGGTTTTTTAATATTAATAAATATTTATTTTTGTTGACTTCTTTGTATATTTGCTGCTTCGCATTTGAACCCGCTTGATAAAAATTTTGGATCCGCCACTGTATGGAAGGCATTAAGATTAATATGACAATCTATAGGTAGAATAGCATATTGTTCAAAATTTTCCTGATGAAATCAAACCTAAAATTTAAGAAAAATTAGATGAAAAACATAGAATATTAGCAAAATCAGTAAAGAAAGTAGTCAGGAACACGAAGAAGCTCATTTCAACCTTCAAAAGTAGTTAAATGTCATTCAAAATGTCAAATATTATTCAATTGTACACTTCATAATATACTTGTACAAATAATTATATAATATTAGTCTCTGAGCGCACCCCAATTTAATGAATATATAATTTTAAAAATTATACAACTAAGATATTTGTGTATGAGTTTTAAAATAAAAATCAAAGAAAAAAATGTAACTGCTTGAAAATGATAAATGTTTATCTTATTTAGTTAGCTTAACAAAGAAAGAAAAAGGTCTATGATTACGTTGTTTATAAATTAAAAGTTAGTGGTCTTCCTCTTTGACTTTGTTTCGGGAACAATTGGCCACAAATTGAATCCATCTGAGAGATGTCTGCAATCTTCATTATTTTATAAAGATTTTCTTTTATGTTTTATTTTCTACTTTTTATTTTTGTGTAAAATTTAAGTGATGATTCATAATTAAGCTACAATAACTATAACGTAAAGTTTGAATAAATTATTATTTAAGACTTTGAAGTAAATTGTGTATTTGATGCTATTCGCAGTCATGCGAAATCAAATAAGAATTCCTACCGGGGTTAGAGAAGAACATTTATATAAAGGAACAAAAAACCTTTGGCAAGTTGGCCGCATCGAAAATAAATTAAAAGCATGTTATTTATTTATATTATAGTAATTTGAAAGTTCTAAATATTAGGACTTCTTACCTGGTTTAATGAGAAATGAATTAAAAAATAAATTTTTTGTTGATTTTAAGGTCCTAAATTATTGAAAAGTAACTTAAAACATAATTCTATCCAATGTAAAATTTATTTTAAAGAGTATAAATTTGAACGATATTTTACTAAGGGACCTCATGCTTTTACTATAGTATAAATAGTTAGATGTATACGCCATTTAGATGTGTGTATATATAGTCGCAATATACAGGTTGTATATTATGTGTATATAATATTTATAAAACTATAATATTTTTTGAAATATATGTAATGTTTATACAATAAATATATGACAAATTGTATTATAATATTATAATATACTCAATTAATGTTTATATTTATACTATAAAGAAACAGAAGCTACTTTTTTTTATTTATAAATAATTATATTTGAAGTTTGGATATGTATAACAAAAAACATGGACAAATTTGAATATAATTACTTCAATTATCCTCTTTCCATTCATTATTGCTTATTCTAGGATTTATTAATTAGTATCCCTATTTTGACGGGATTGGGTTGGGTGGGTTCTGCTATACAATGTAACTTTCTCTTGTCACCGTACAATAATTTAAGGTTGCTAGTTAATAAAAAGGGAAATTTTCGTTCCATACTATATAGGAAACTATATTACCAAATGTGTTCATAGTTTGTATATTACCCTTTATGCTAATAGTATTTCTACAAAATATAGACCATGCATTAAATAAGGGATCATTGTAGCTGTAGGCTTCCTTATTTAGGCGCGCTAAAATTGGGGGATTAAATATTCTTCCAGATCTTCCAAACGCAAATCACGCACATTAATCTTCTTCGTCAGTTTCGTTTCAAATTTAGTGTCTCTACATCAAACGCAATTATTCTTCTACGATTCAAAAACGAATTGATTATTCTTCTACAATTCTGTTGTTTATTTATTTTTCTTTTATTCATTTAACTATTGTATGAAAATTGAACAACATTGTATAAAAATTATATTTAAATGGTATTATATTGTAATTGTGTATAACTTAGTAGAAATAATGTACGAAAATTATAGATAATTTGTAGATAAGTTGTATAATATATAATTAGTTGAATGAAAATTATTTTTAGTATGTATAAATCAGATACAAAATATACAAAAGACATATTGTATAGATTTTGTATAAAATTTGTATGTAAGTTTTATGTTATTGTAGTTATATTTCACTGGGTGGAAATAATGTGTGAAAGTTGTAGAAAATTGTAGATAAGTTGTATTCCTCTATAAAGGGAGATGTTGACATATCAAGTAACTTTAGTGTTCCAGATGAACATGCATGAAAATAAAGATAAATTCTTTTATGAATAGTTTGTAGATATTTTGAAGATAATTTGTAGAAACATTGAAATTCTATATTTTCATATTAATTTTTCAAATGATATGTGTCACACCTCCTTTTTACACTACCCGAAGGTAGTATAAGGGAGTTTTTCCACTTTAAGTGACATTATTCGAAATGGAATTAATTATTCATTTTTATTCAGAGTCGCCACTTGGGATAGTTTATTTGGTGTCCCAAGTCACCGGTTTATTTTGAATCCCGAATTGAGGAAAATTTCGACTAACCTTTTGAAGTCTGCGAACCATAAATTTTGAATAAGGAATTCTGTTAACCCGGGGGAAGGTGTTAGGCACCCCTGAATTCCGTGGTTCTAGCACGGTCGCTTAAACTATCATAATTGGCCTATTATCTGATTTTAATGCATGTTTTAGCCAATGGTGTAACTTTAAACTATTAACCGCTTTTAATTAATTTTAAAAAGATTTCAATGTCATCTAAAACGCGTCTTTGGACTACGCCACATGAAATGCACCCGCAGTCTGAGACACATTTTATTTAACGTTGTTGAGATTTGGATATGGGTTACATGAAATGCACACCCGAATTTAGGGAAGTAATGTTTTTTAAAAATAGCGCGCCTAAAGCAACTACGCACTTTCAACTTTGCGAGAGCCATGGAAAATTCAACTAAATGGCGCACCTCGATTTTTAAGGATTAAAATATAAATTAAGCGAGGGCCATGCATTTGGAGCCTTTATTTGGCACGGCACACCTAGATTCTAATTTTTAAAAGGGCTTCTAAACTTAGATTGGGGGGGGGGGCGTAAATTATGTGTTTGGCTGATATGGCACACCTCAAACTGTTTTCAAGAGGCAAATTAATAAAGGAAAGCTTTTAAGGGATTCTAATTTTTGCACTAAACGTTCGAACTTATTTAACAAACTAATGAACCTTGTTCAAATAATCAATTACTTAGGGAAATCGTCCTAGACAACAGCAATATGAACAGGGCGTTGGATTTGATGAAAATAAAATAGGCTCGAACAACAAAAGATAAGCAACCCAATGATCAAATGCTTTCAAGCTTAAGCCCAAAAATGAGCCCGATTCTTGGTAGAAGAAAAGGCATTCATGAGAAAACACATGCATTTGAAATTGAACTTTTATCAGTTGGTCCAGCATTAGGCCCAATCTTCAGAACCAAACACTTGTGCAAATTCAATTAAATGCCAACCAACTAGGACCATACAAACACGAAATCAACTGACATTTACTTCTGAATTTTTACTATTGAAACACTAACCAACTAAATGATCATTCTGCATTTTTAATATTCATACTTAAACATGTCCACAAGTAAATTAGGATCAAATCAACGCATAGTTCAATTCTTAGAGTATTCTGGACCATTTCGCTCACTTTAAGCATGATTTCATACCTACTAAAGTTAAGAACACATTCAGCTACCCAACTACATGAACACAGCATCATCCAAACACAACTAATATGTTGCAACAACTTAAACGAACTATCATAGCAGAAAAGACTCTGATCCAGTCCACATTATAGGATTTAGCATGATTGAATATAGGGTCTAACTACCAATTCAACAAAAACAAATTGTTCCCCAAGTTTTCATAATAGTCCCAAGTTAGATACAATAGTAAAAGTTCACTATCCAAACCAGAACTCAACTAGACGATGTACACATCAGGTTACTAAAAAATATCAAAAGAAATATGACTGAATCACAAAATAACTGATGATATGCTTTAAACTTTTGCTTTTCATTTCATTCTTCAAGTCAAGCCTCACATGAGGTAGAATTCAGAGGTCATTTACCTGAGAATAAGGGGAAAGCAAGAAGAAGTATGGATCAGTAGGCAGCAGCAACAGAACAGAGTCCCAGATTCAGCAGTAGAACAGTGAAATCGGCTCAAGAACAATCAATGAAACAGTGGAGGAATAACAAATCCAAACCCAGATTCAAACCAAAATTCAAGCCATTTCTCAAACCAGAAGTGTAACTAGGGAAATTTTCAAGTGCTTTAGCTAACAAAGAGAGATCAGAAATCCAAACAAGCAGAATCTTGGTAGTCTTCAACCATGGAATGCAGGAATTCAAAATTGTTTTTTAAAAGAACTCAGTCGTTTCAGCTTTTTTTTCCAGGGATTTTTGTCTCTAATCTCTGACTCGAACCTCAAATAAGGATGTCTTTATAGGCAAGGTTTTAGGGCTGCAGAAACAAGGTCATCTTTTAACTTAAGATTTTTTGCAATTTTTGTTTTTGCTCAAGTACCCTCACTTAAAAAATCAAATTTTCAGTTAAGTCCCAATGACACTTTCCTAGCAGCTTCCTAATTCAGTTATGCAAGATTCTCTAAGGTAAACTACCCAAATAACCCTTTAAACCCCTGCTATTTATTTTAGTAAACCAAAACTTCAGACAAATGGCCCAAAGGTCTTGGGCTACTGCACTAGCAGGTTCTACGGCCTTTGGGCTCCTGAACCCTTGAAGCCCAAATTGTGATCCAAAAGACCATAGGCTGCGAATAGGTAAGCCCATAAGTTCTGC